GAATCTTAAACTCCTCATCCAACCACATTTCATTTTCTGCCTGCATTTCACCTATCTCATTACAGAACAATCACTACAAATAATAAAGGTTATTATTTAGAGTTCATAGAGAATAAAGGGAGGAAGTATAACTATGAAACCTAACATACATAAGTACAATATGATTGAATGTTGTTTTTAATATCACAAGTAATTATTGAGACTTCTGAGAAGGTGTCAGAGTCATAAACAGCAATGTATTAGCCTCTTCAAGATTCAGGATCCAGATAATGGAAAACAACTTAGGGAAGAAAGAGTGAGCTGAATCCCTGTGATGCAGGAAGATCTGAAGGGAATATTAGAACCTACAGAGACATTGAAGTGACAGACCACAATGCAGAAAACATAAAGGGAAATATATACGTTTTCCTTGGCTTCTGGCTCATGCATGAGAAAGAAAGATTGAATCTACAGAGACACAGTGAAAGCAGGTCATTCCAGAGGTATTCAGGGGGAAATTCACCAGTGGAATTCCATAAAACAGGTTCAAACAGGTAGCAAGGAGACTGAAAATCCTATTGAAAATATACACAGAAGAATCAACCAAAGTGTAGATGGCATGTTAGATCTAGAAGACAGGGTTCAGTTGGTAATAACCATATGAAAGATTTCTTAAAAATACAAAGGAACCATGAAAAATCAATCCAACATCAGCAAGATGATACAAAGAGGACTAATCTAAGATTAACTGGAATCAATGAAAAATCAGAAGATACAGTAAAGGGCATAAAAACTCATTCAGAGGAGTAACAGCAGAAAACTTTCCAAGAATAGAAAAAGAACCTGACATACAGATAAGTGAGGCATATAGAACTCCAATAGCTATGATCAGGAAAAAATACACCAAGACAAATAATAGTGAAGTTTCCAGAAGTTCAACAAAACAGAATATTAAAATTTGTTACAGAAAATACACGAATCACCTATAAAAGAAAACCCATAACAGTCACAGGAGACATTTCAACACAAACCCTTAAGTTAAAGAGAGCTTGAAGTATTTCGAGCCCTAAAAGAAAACAACCTGCAACCCAGACTGATGTGCCCTGCAAAATTATTTATCACATAAGGTATTTTCACTATAATGGAAAAACATGATGGAAAAGATATTTCCATTATAAAAAAAAAACTTGACAAATTTTATGATCACCAAACCAAAACCTTAAGACATTCTGAAGCATATTCCAGAAAGGCATAATGAAGGCAAAGATGCCCAGAATCCCAAAAGAATGAATCTATCAAGCAATTAAAGAGAAGGGAAATAAAAAGAACCAAAACCAGGAAAATAATACGGTAACAAAGATAAGTCAGTAACCTATCAGTTATAACCATTCTTGTGAATGGCTACAATTCACCAATCAAAAGAACGAGAATGGTAGAATCAGGAAACAACATCCAACCATATGCCACATACCAAAAAACATACTTAAAAAGAAATTCATAAATAAGAATGACGAAAGATGGAAAACAATACTTGATGCAATAGGAACTCAGAAAAAAAGCAAGAATAGATATTTTATTTGTATAAAAGCTGGAATTCAAGCCAAGATTGATCAGAAAAGACAAAGATTATCACAAATTTTTAAGGGAACAATCTAAGAGTATGAGATAGCCATCATAAATACATATGCACCAAAATACCAGCACACTCAACTATATGAAACAAACACTAATGGATATGGAAAATCAGATAAGCACCAATGCAATTTTAACAGGGGATCCTGATACCCCACTATTACAAATAGACAGATCAACTTGGCCAAAAAAAAAAAAAATCAACAAAGAAATATCAGAGATCAACAAAACCTTGGATCAAATAGACTTAGAAAAAAATTTACAATGTTCCACCCAACAACAGAATATATATTATTTGAAGCAGCACATGGGACTTTTTCCAAAATAGACCACATACTAGCTCATATTACATGCTTAAGTAGATGCAAAGGAATTAAACTTATCCCATGCATATTATCAGACCATAGTGCAATGAATCAATGCCAATAGCAAAGAAACTGCATAAACACATGGAAAATAAATAATACCCTCCCGAATAACCAGTGGGTAACAAATGAAATTAAAGAAGAAATTAAAAAGTTTATGCAACTGATAAAAATACCTACATTACAAACCACAACTTCTGGGGTGCAATGGAAGCAGTCCTAAAAGGGAAGTTTATAGCAATGAATTCCCACATCAAAAACAAACAAACAAACAAGAAAAAAAAAAAAACGACAGCAAAGTCAAATAAATAGCCTAATGCTGAGTCTCAAGGTTCTAGAAAAGGAAAAACCTAAACCTAGCTTGTACAAGGAAAGAAATTCTAAAGATTGGAGCAGAAATTAATGGACTAAGAAAACAACACAAATAATCAATGAACTGAAGTTGGATCTTCGAAAGAATCCCTGGGATTAAAACAATTTATGGTGGTATAGATCTGATGTCAGCCAGAGGAGTGGTGGATACAAAAGATGGCCACTATTAAGCTATTTCATTCTCTCCATCACAGCAATCTGCTCTCACCTTGCAGTGTATACTTTTCCTACTTTTGTCTCACACTCACTCTGCAGAGCACGTTTCTTTTTCTACCTTTAATAAATGTAATACCTTGCTATCTTTTGTACTTGTCTTGTCCAATTCTTTGCTAAGGATTAAAAGTACCTAGAAAACACATCTAGAAAGAATCTCTGACTAGAATGAGTCTCCAGCATTCCATAATCTAGTAACTATGGCTCATAGAAAAACAATGTTTTTAAATCCCTGGCTGTCCCAGGAGGAAACTCAAATCATGTTTTAATGAGCAACAGGTAAGGATGTAGGATTTTGCCTCTTTCCCCATCAATGTGATGGACCTTTACTGTTACCATTACTGGGAATCTGTGTCCTAACAAGTGAGATCTCAAGTTATAAAATTAACTGGGTCTTTTAAAACAACGTTTTGTTCCTTTTAGGTCATTATTCTTGTAAAAATTAAACAGACTGTGTTTACTTATTCCACAAATGTAAAGTGTATTTGCACTGGAGTCAAGTGGTTGTGACAACCACTTAGTCAACAATACTATGTGGACCTTTGTAAAAGTTTATTGATCCTTAGGCTAAGCCATGTTGTTTTCCTACTTTGATATTCTACACAATTATGAAATTATTCATTATAGGTTTTGCAACTGCACTCTATGTATAAAGTTCAGCTTCTAATTTATGCAGTGGTGTTTCTTTATAGACAACCTGGCATCTAATACTAATAGTGGGAGGAGGCTCTTCATTTTTGATGACTACAGTTAAAAGGCAGCATCTATAGTTGTTTTTTAAAAAATCATCATCATTAACAGTATGTTAAGCATGGTAAACGAACCTTTGGAAATAGCAGCTGGAGACTCCTATAATTAAAACCAGTAGAAAAACTGCCTGAAGATTCCAATTTCTTACTTCGATTGCATGACCTATTGGAATACAGAAACTCTAGCAACATACCGAAATGTCAGGATATGCACAAAACACATTCCCAGCCCTAAATGGCAACTAAAGCTCTGTATATATGCATGTTTAAGAATGGAAGCATAATATAAGTGGACTTTTCTGACTGGCTTCTTTGACCTCACATGTTTACAAGGTTAATGGTGTAGTAGGTATTATAACTTCATATTTTTATACTATCAGATAATATACTTAGAACTTCTGAGTGGTAACTTATTTTTGAGACTGTTTTCCAAATATATTGCATCATTTTTATGTTCCCATCAGTAATGTATTAACGACTGTAATGATTGTAATGTATTACATTACAATCTCTCCATATTCTTGCTGTTTTAAATTACAGCCATCCAGAGTGGACATAGTATTTCACCACTATTTTGATTTGTATATCCCTAGTTTTTTTTTTTTTTTTTTTTTTTTTTTGTCTTTTTTGAGACGGGGTCTCGCTATGCAGTTGAGGCTAACCTTGAGCTCACTTTGTAGCCCAGGCCGATTTCGAACTTGCAACGATCCTCCCACCTCAGCCTCCTGAGTGCTGGGATTACAGGCGTGAGCCACCACACCCAGCTTATATCACTAATGTTTAATGATGTTGAGCATCTTCTCATGTGTCTAGGCAGCTATTTATATATCTTTGGACAGTTTCTATTCAGATCTTCTAGTTTCTAACTGGCTCATCACTTTCTATTATTGAGTTGTATTATATTTATGTATTTCAGATATAGTCCCCTTTAAGATATACCACTTTCCAATATGTTCTCCCATTCTAAGGGCTGTCCTTTTACTTTGTGAACAGCACCATTTGAACCACAAACGCTAATTTTGATATGCAATGTATCTATTTTCTCTTTGGGTTGATGTCATATGTAGGAAACCACTGCCTAACCCATGGCCTTGAGGTTTTACCTTGGTTTTTTCTAAAAGTTTTGACATTGTAGTTCTCACATTTAAGTATATCATCTACACTGAGTTAACTTTTATACATGATATGAATCCAGCTTCATTACTGTATATGCATATAAAAAGTTGTCCAAGTACCATTTGTTGAAGAGATTGTTCTTTTCTCATTGAATGATTTTGGTAATCTTGTCAGAAATCAACTCTCCATAAATGTAAAAATTTATTTCTGGACTCAATTCTATTCCACTTACATGTATTTCCATTCTTAGGCCACCTGTATCTTGATTATTGCACATTTTGAGTTAAGTTTTGCAGTTAGGAAGCAAGGGTCATCCAACTTTGTTTTTATTTCCTAATTTCTCTGGCTAGAACATTTAGAAGGTACCCAATAAAAATGGTAAAAGCAATATTCTTGCCCCATTCTTGACTTCACTCATTATTTAGTCTTTCATCAATAAGTATGATGTTAAACTATAAATTTTCCATATCTTTTCAGGTTGAGAAACTTCAATATATAAAAAAACCCAAAATTTCATAACAAAATAAATTAATATACAGTACTATCTTCAAAGTAAAGTACAAGATATCTGAGAAAATTTTTAATGTCTACTTTATTGGGCATTTTTAAACATGCAAAACTGCTGCATTTTGCCAAACATTTTTCTCAATTTATTGAAATGATCACATGGCTTTTGTCATTTATTCTGTTAAATCTATAGTACTGATTTTCTGAATTTTAAATTAATGCATTTCTGAGATAAATTCTACTTGCTCATGCTGTAAAATCCTTTTTAAATGCTCCGGACTGACTTTCCATTATTCTGTTGAGGATTTCTAAATCTATTTGCCCTGCAGTTTTCTTGTGTTGTCTTTGGTTGTGGTATCAGGATAATACTGGCCAGCAAAACATTATGCACAGTTTCTGTCTCTGTCTTTCTCACTAATCTTTCCTTGAATGTTTGATGGAATTCAGGGGTGATGCCATCTAGGCCTGAAGTTTTCTTCATGAGTTTTTATTAGTAAAATAATCCCTTTGCTTGTTATAGATTTATTTGAACTGTATATTTTTTCTGGAGTCAGTTTTGACAGTTTTTGAATTTGTTCATTTAAATTATCTAATTTGGTAGTATGAAGTTATTCATAGTATTCCTTTAGAATTGTTTTATCATTCACTAACTGGTCATTAAAATATGATGGCTTAATGCTAAATTAAATCACTACAATGTGCTCACATGAGCTTTGCAAACAATTACTTTTTCTCTGAAGTAATGCCAAAAATTCACCTTCTTCATAAAGTTATAAGGTCATACTCTCAGAGTGTCAATTAATTAGCTGTACTTATTTAGAACACACAAATGATAAAATACCAGATTTCCCTGGGCATTGCAAAAAGAGCTGTCAAATTGAACACCAATTCCTAGTCACAATGACATAATGTTTACTGAGTAATTATCATTCAGACATATTGCCATAAACAATAAACCTGTGGTAAGGACTTCCTTTACTGAGCTGTTCTATCTTAACCAGTTTTATCCAGCTTATTTAACTTAGTATTATGACTTACTATACAGTGTATGTACTTCAAAATGGGAACAATAAACCTCTAGAATTCAAGAAAACTACATTTGTAAGAATATTTAAATACTTTTAACTACTAACTCAAAACAGAATATACTGTAATGAGGTTCCAAGGGAAGAATAATGTATATACACTTGCAAATTTTATACCCCCTAACATATTCAGCAAATAGAAAGGATAGGAGCAAGTCAGCAAGACACAAAATGATTTAGAAACAAGGAACCACATAATCTTAAATACTTTGCCTTTAAAGTAAAACACATTTTTAAAACAGCCACTTTCACAAGCTCAGCTTAGCTTTGTCCACATTGAGAGGAAAAACAAAATATTTATCTTAAGATATTTGAAAGTGCAAATCCCTGTAGAGGAAAAGTAAATGACTATCTTGAGCTCATTCATGTACAAATGCTAAAGGTCTCTCTTTAAATCTCAAGTGACACTCAGACTTGTGCTCTTCAAAATTTCCAAATGAGTCCTTCTGCTCACAAAGATGTTTCTATGTTAAGAAACTTCAGTAAGGCACCTGGGATCAGTTTTAACTATCAAATTACCTTGGTTTCAAGTTAGTTTTTGTAAACGGGGGTTCCTTTTAAGAGGAAAGTAAATCTTTGCATGTTCAAAATAAAGGAATCTATACTAAGAAAGAAAATTATGCCTTTGTAATGTTGTAATGTAAAAATCAGTTCATTATAATTACATACCCTGTTTCTTGGCATTTCTTTTGAAGAATCATCCTAGGAAGCTTTTCATTTACATTAATCTATTATTTCCTTGTGTAGAACTACTTTTAAGACTTTTAAGAGAAATGTCTTTGCGACTCAGCTATAGTCCTTACATTAACTGTGATTTCAGGTAATTTAATTTCCTCTGCGCTGAAAATACTGGTTAATGCCCAAAATGGAGTAGGGATCACCTGCAACCACACAAAACTAAATCAGCTTCAAAATCTCTTAGTAGCTAGGGGTGGTGGCACACAACTATAATCCCAGTACTCATGAGGATAAGGAGAACTTCCAGGAGTTTGGGGCTAGCCTGAATTACACAGGGAGACACTGTTTCAACAAAATGAAGCAAAACAAAACAAAACAAATCTCTTAGTGGAGAAATGCTGAAAACATTCTTATCCTCTTGGACTAAATGTTCCCTACCTCACAATATAACTTGCTCTGAATGCTGCTTTTTGCACATCCAAAGGAATTATTACTAATGATTATTTTAATCTTATTTATGCAACTAAGCTAACTTTTTCCACAAACATCATTGGAAATGTACAGAAGAATTAACAAATATACAAAATTTGTGCCTAGGCTGTAATGACATTTCCAGTATTACTACTTCAGAATAAGAAATGTCTAAGAAAAAAGATTTTTTTAATAGTTCATTATGAATCTCAATGTTAATTTCAACTTTAAAATTAAGGGGCCTGGGGTTTAGCTCAGCGGCACAAGTGTCTGCTTGGCAAGTGTGAGGTCCTGAGTTCAATCTCTGGTAAAATAAATAAATAAATAAAATAAAATTAAGATCCTACATCACATTATTTACTTTGGTATCAAAGACTAACAATGAGATAGTGATGGTCCAGGTTACCTACCAAATTGCCTTGATAGGTAAATTGAGAGATTTATTCACCCATGTTAACAATATGGAACAAAACATACTGAAATCTAAATTATCATATTGAAACCATAAACCAATAAAATAAATACATCAGGACCTTTCCTGATATATAAAATTTTATTATATATAGTTACATGACCACTTGTGAGACACGTTTTTCAAACTGAATGAGTACTATTCAACAAGTTAAGGCAAATTCATACTGGAAAAGAGGAACTTTTCTCCTTTTTAATTTTGAGAGACAAGGTCCTGCTATGTTGCCCAGACTGGCCTTATCCTTTGGACTCAAGTGATCATCCCACCTCAGCTTCCTGAGAAGTTAGAACAACACTTTTTTTTTTGAGACAAAGTCTCTCTGTATAGTCTAGGCTGGCCTTGAACTCACTATGTACCCCAGGTTAGCCTCAAACTTGCAACAATCCTCCTGCTTCAGCCTCCCAAGTACTGAGATTACAGGTGCACACCACCATGCCTGATGAGAATAACTTTCGAACATCTATCATCATTTTTGTAATTATTTCTAAGAAGCAAAATATTTTCCACAGTAAAGTTTGATTATATTGTTTGGGCTCCTTGTTATATAAGGCTTAAAGTGTGAACATAGATCAAGAGTCTTGGTTTTATATGTATATATATATATATATCTACATTTTTCCTATTTACCAAAGGTATTTAATAATTTTTAAATAAACATGGATTCACATACACATGCATGTACATGTATACAACACACCCTGTATTTGTTCGTACAACTTTAGATGGCAAAAGGAGTGCATTTTAGGTGGAAAAAGGAACAGCCATTAACATTGTAAACTTTTTGATCACTGTCAGTACAGCAAATGTCAAATCACATTATGGTTTATAAGTGCTTGAAGAACAATGAATAAATTCCAGTTAAAAACAAAAACATTGCCATAATTGGTGGAAGAATAACCCCTAGGTAAGTTATTATGTAAGTTAATGATTAAGAATATTTTACACCCAAACAGGAAAATTTGTTTTTTTTTTTAAATGTATGGCAAAGTTGGAAATATTTATAAAACTTGAGTTATAGGTATGTATTAATATAAAGTATAAATGGATGTCTACTTCTCACAAGTTCTAACCATATATATTTATTAACTAATTTCCACATTAATGAAGTATTTCAATTGAAGGCAGAAAAGAAACAACCTAAATTGTCTTTTTTCTATAATTTTAAGAAACAAATACTTTCTAAATTGTCACCACAAAGGTTTTAAAAACAGAAATTTGGAAACCAATCTAATTCATATGGTTATGGATATGAAATGGATGTCAGGCTTCATGAGGTAAATTCAAATGGGAACACAAAAATTATGCATTGAGCATATATGCAGGGTAGTAAGAAGAAAATAATTTGGCTATAAATACAGGAACCACATTAAACAGAATGAAAGATGCTAAACTGAAATCCTCCTTTAAATCTTATCTAAAAGAAGGGTTATAGAAAATGGGAATGTATGATTTTGTTTTAATTAAACAATTTTGCTTCACTATAGAATCATACTTGAAGTGCAGTTCAAAACATGAAAAAAAATCCTATATATTAGCAGGAACAGTTTCCACAGCCTTTCACACTATTGATAATTTCCTCTTGTAGTTTCTTCCTTTCCTCCTCTTTGGACACACTTTCTTTCTTTGGGTCCCATTTGGTGTTATCATGGTTCTGCATACGACTACTTTGTGTATGCCACATTTCTGAATAGATACTGCCAGAGTTACCAAGCAAATCATAGTGGGTGCCACGTTCAGCTACTTTACCCTAAAATGCAAATATAAGGGAAATACAAAGAAAGGTTATTTCATAACTAATATAATAATTAAAAATATACAACCATTTATAACATTTACTTTTTCCTTTAAAGAAAAAAATAAAATAACAATAAGATACGGTTTCAAAACAGTCTAATAGAATAACAATAATACATTGTGTATTGTTATCTTCATGGTAGTTACTCAGAGTACAAGATAAATGCATGAAACATTGTGCAAAAAATATTAGGACAAACCTTTCTTTTCAATGAACCAAGGAGAAACTGGCTATACAAGTATCTTAACTATCATATGTATATACATGTTTTTTCCTTTTCCCTTCCTTTCCCTTTCCCCATCACAGTTTCTCTTTTCTTTTGAACAGTTTCTTCCCAATTCACAATATCTATTATTTATTTTAGATCTTATTTACCTCTCAAGTCCTTATCCACAGTATAAGTGGGAAAAACTGAGGTAAGAAATTTTCCTTCAATGTTGATCTACTCAGTCCCAATGAACAAACAAAAGGCTATGCAATTACAGTGCCATTACCATCATTTAACTGAAATAAAATACATTATTTCTAATTTTTCATTTTGAAGAGTAGAAAGTGGAAGTTAACAGTGCAAAAATGTGATATTTTCTGCAACCAGTAAATATTCTAATCAAAAGTAGCTACTCATATAGGAATTCAAAGGATTTCAAAATAATATCCCAAAAATATTCAAGAAAATAAAGTTTACTTTTTCCAGTAGCTATTCCTGTTAACCATGGCCATTAAAGTTAATGTTGCATAGATCTGGTAGACTCCAAACTCTGATCTACAATTAATTTGTCTCTTGAGAGCTACACTTCAACATGTTGGGAGACAAAGGAATTTTGTTATTTTTACTGGTACCCTTGGGTGATAGGATTTTTACAAATATATCCATAACCAAAATAACTAAAATTTGTCTGTGTCCATGCCTGAGTACTATCTATCTATCTGTCTATCTATCTATCTATCTATCTATCTATCTATCTATCTATCTATCTCAATATGTATAGTATTTACATATTATGCACACATACATACAGAAACACAAGGTTCAACTGAAAAATATGGTGGATATTCAATTTAAAAACATTATTACAGTAAAAGATAGACATTTTGACATTAATTCTGCTCAAAATAATTCCCCCTGACTTCAAAGGTATTTAACCCATCATTCTTTCTACTTTTTAAAGCAGTTCTAGAAATTATTTTGATGTCCTTAGTTGTGCCTTTGTGGCTTCCTCAATGTCCTGAATCGACTTAAAACATTTACCATTCATGGTCACTTTGATAAAAGCTAGGAGTTATAAGGTACCACACCTAGTAAATAAGGTAGATGAGGATACAGAGTCATATTTTTACAATACTGCCTTTCTATCGGATGCATTTAGCAGCCTTATTTACCATATTTTTTTTTTGTCTTTTTTATTTTTATCGGTACCAAGGATCGAACTCACGACCGCCTACTTGCGAGGCAGGTGCTTATGCCACTGAGCTAAATCCCTGGCCCCAATTCACCATGTTTTTGATCATACCTCATAAAGACAAGAAAAAGGACTTCTTCAGAAAGCAGCAGTAAGTAACTGTGTTCAAAGACAGTGAAAGTATTTTGAGGGGGATTAATAGCAATGTGTTTTTACTGTAATGATTTTTAAGTGTAATACATAGTTTACTACTATTTCTTGACTTACTGGTTTCTAATATTAACTACTAATTTCCTATTATAGAAGAGATTTGGCATTCATATACGATCCTACATTCCTACTGTCCCATTATTTACTCTGCTAACATCATTTATGACATAAATTTTGCCTCAGTGTTCACTTCACTGCTTCCTTTAGACTCAAGTAGGTACTAGGACTTTCTGTATATTTCTTTAGATTTTAATCTTCCTAGGTTTAGTGACTGCATCATTTTATCATTTGCTTAGTTTTCTATATCACTATTGCAAATCTCTCTGAAGTTTGTGCATGAACTATAAAACTCTTCTGCCACTATTTTTTCATAATCAATGTATTAGGTAATCTATTAGTTCAACTCCTCCTTGAATTCTAAAGCTTTATGACAATACACCTTGGTATGAGGCTTTTTTTTTTCTTTTCCATTCATTGTGGTGGGTGTTTAGTATCCCCTTTCAATCTATGAACTCTTGCCCTAAAGTTCAGTTATACTATGGGTATTTGATAATTTCCCTTTATTTTTCTGTCCTCTCTTTTTGGAATTACCACTAGCCAAATATTAGATCTCTTAGAGTAATTATTTCATTTTATCTCTATAGTTCTTCTTTTTACGTTACTCTTTGGAGATTTCCTTGATTTTATTTTAATAATGATAGTTTTCAGTTAAAAAATTCTCTTGTTCTCTAGTTGCTCCTTATCACCCCATTTTAAAATTCTGAAATGTTGCAAGAGTGAAACAATGAACATTTATGTATGTTTTTCCTAGTTTAGCACTATTTTTTGTATATTAGCTTATTCTCTTTACATATTTCCTTGAATGCATACATCAAGTATATTTGTTTTGTTTCATTTTATACTCTCTCTCTATAGTATAAGGGTTTTATTTTTACAATTGTTTGCAAACCATTTGAGGAGTTTCTGAAATTATTATACTTTACCTTCATATATTTCATTAGTATGCACTTCTTTAAAAATATTCTCTTACAGGACTGGAATATAACTCTCATATCCAAGACATTTAGCAATGATACATTATTATCTAACATATAGTTCATATTCAAACTTTATCAATTGTATGAATAATGCTCTTTATGTTTTCCTATCTAGGGTCTAATCAGAACCAAACCACTGAATTTATAAGAACTTTATTATGTGTGTGTGTGTAACATTAACGTTTCTGAAATGTCTAGATCTGTGTTTTTTAAAGCTCTTCAGTTTCTATGTCTAGTTGTTCCTCATGATTAGAGCTGGGACAAAAAATTCTGTCAGAAATAAGTGATGATCTTTCCTTACTGCATTATTATACCATGAGATATACGAGGTCAATTTGTCCCATGTTTGATCACTTGGTCTATTAGACTTCTCTACTTCAACAGTATCTTTTCTCTTTGTAATTAAAACAATCTACAAGTTATACTGTACTTTCAAAACTGTGACTATTCTAGTCCCCACATCTTTTCCCCATATGGTTTTAGAAATCAGTGATGATTCTTATATTAACGATGATTACAAACTATGATTTTCTAAATTTATCATTGATTATGTTAGCTATCATTGTTCTTAAAGAAAGGCTTCCTCCCTTTCTCCTTGGCACTGTTTGTTTTAATAGTACTATCATGGCTCTCCCCATTTTCCCCTTTTCTCTTTCCTCTTGCCTTTCTCCTCTTTCCCTTCTTCCTTTTTCCAAGCCACTATTCAGTATTTCCCCCCTTTCTGTCTCCTTTTTCTTACATTTTCTTTTCTCTTTCCTCCCCTGCTGACCTGTCTGTTCACACTTCCTCTCCCCACATTTATCACTGTGTAAATTTTTAAAAACAGTATGATAGATGGTGAGATTAGTGTTTTACTCAATACGTTATAATTCATTAGTGTCACTACTTTTTTGATGCTCTATCCCAAATTTGGTCAGTAACAGCCTATTTAAAATGGTTTCTAAGTTTTGGGACATGCTTTCATTTCTCTTCCTGCACTAGATGTTTCTCTGAAAAATCCTGGTTACTTTTAGTAAGAAATAGTATTTAGTGTCCCAGATGTTTCTATCAGGTATATTCATTGCTTCTAGGCAATGAATATTTGCTGTTAAGAGCAAATAAGCCTATCCAGTATTTAGAATACTTTTGAAGTAACATAGATTTGTTCCAATAATTCTGTTCCAATATAACATCATAAGAATCTTCTTTGATCTATCCATCATTTGTACGTTTTTTTTCCCTAAGTGAGATTACTAGTCCTAATATCATCAGTGTACTTGTTCACATGCTCAATTTTGAAATATACGCAAAATAGTTTCAAAATGGCTACTCTCATAGGGTAGTATCCCCAACAAAAATTTAATTAAGTTGACATTTTCTTTGGAATTATTTTATCTTTACATTATTTTCCACAATAGAGATATATAATTGTAGTAATATGTTCGAGTTATTTGGATTAATTCTAATTTTCTTCTGTGTATTTATCAATAGTATGCAGTTTTACTTTTTTCTTTGAAATAAATTGCTTTAAACTTTTTTTCTTTTATGGTATAAGGGATTGAATCCAGGGCCTTCACAGTATATCGCCAGTTTCTAGTTTTTAAATTTTGAGACAGAGATTTGTTAAGTCTCTAAGTTGCTCAAGCTGGGCTCAGATTTGCAATCCTCCTACTTCAGCATCCCAGAGTACAGGGGTTACTGGTATGCATGCCATTCTGGGTTAATTTTATTTTTGAATATATAAAAATATTTACATAGTTCAAAAGTAAAAGGGTATGTAAGAAAGTATACTCAGAAAAGTCTCATTTCCTTTCTTGTATCTTGCAGTCTTTTTGTGGCCCTATCTGATATGCAGCCAAGGACTTTAGTTTCTTGTTTTTCCTTCCTGAATTTCTTTTTAAAAAAATAAAACCAAATATCTTTTTTGGCATCTGACTTATTCAGAACATTAAGATGGTACATTGTTACAGTAATTTCCTCAGAAGAGATAAAGGAAGTTATCCCTCAGGAAGAAAAACATAAAATAAAAATGGCCATGTTTGAAAATGATCACTTTATTTTATAATTTTCTCTTATGCATAAAGGGTATTGTAATAAAAAATGCAAATACAGAAAAAGATGCTAAGCAAAAATTCTATTCAGAGTAAAAAATGACCACAGGAAACTTGTTTTATAGATACATCCTTGAAAACCTTATATGACAAAATTTCATATATACTTAATAAAACCTTTGGTTTAATATTCTAATAGAGTGCATTAATACAATTTATCCCTTCTTGGAAATGACACACATAGTTTTTGGTAAAAGAGTAAAAATTAATTTTATCAGCATTCAATCTCATCTAATGTAAATTCTACATATTTTATTAGAAACTATATTAATTTTTTGTTTCTATAACCATTTTCAATTTTTTTGAAATATTGTTAAAGTAAATCTCTTACCTGGTCCAAGACAATAATTTCATCTGCATCAACCACTGTTGACAATCTATGTGCAATGAAAATAGATGTTCTGTGTTTGACCATATCTCTCATGGCACCAAGAATAGCCTGGAAGTTTGGCAAGAAGAATAGGAAAAAAAATATATTATTAGGCAAATTAAATTCAAATAAACCTACTTGTTGTAAAGCAACGGAAAATATCAATCTTTTATTATGTAAACTTTATCTAGAACCAAATACTTGAATTATAATCCTAAGAAGAATAGAAAATCAAACAAAAAGTGAGGGCAAATTTGACTACAAAGTTATAGAAAAAAATATCATTAAGATAGGCAACATTTCTATACAACACAGAGTCCAAGAGAAAATACATATTTTCTATATGAAAAATAAACATTCAGTGATATTAAAATGAAGAGAGACTAAGACAAGATGCAGAGAAATTCAAAATAATACAAAGAAAGATATGGAGACAGGACATCTATAGAAACAAGCACAAACACATTTGTGAATTTTTAAACTTAAGGAAACTTTGTTTTCAAAAGCATCTTCACTTCTTAATGCATTCTGAAATATATTTTTTTGTTTACTGCTTATAAAGCACAAGAGAATTATACATATATTCAGCTATACTTATAAAGTTAGGTCTAAGAACTACCACTAGCTAAGTGAAAAAAGAAGTGTGGGGAATGGGGATAAGAAGACTCCCCCCCAAAAAAGTAATAAGCACTAAGGAGTAATAAAATCCAAAATGTGTAAATTTTGTTGTAAAAAAGAGAGGGAAAAAAAATAAATAAAAAGAGCTCTAACGGATATAACAGCAAGTGTGTTTAGGGGTGTTAAATAGCTGACTATATCAATGTTTTTGGATCATTGAACACAGCTGTTTGCAGTCTCCCTGTTTGAATGTCCACCTTGTACTCTTTGATACTGTGATTTGAGCAACTATTTTCAAGATGATAATATGTAATCTATTAACAGGTGATTTCTTACTGTTATTTTTTTTTTTTTGTAGTTCTGTATTACGTGTACCCTTACACCGCTTTGTTTTGTTTTGTGTTTTTCTCTTTTTCCTCTTAAATAAAATAAAAAATAAAAAATAAATAAATAAATAAAAAAGAAGACCTTATTTTACTAGGCAAGACTGATAACCAAGTGTAGTGGCAGTACTAAGAAAAACCGGTGTTTGTGGTGATTACTTTCTTACCTTTAAGAAATTAAAACTGTAAAATCCTACAGAGTGCTCTAGAACTCTTAAAAATGTCCATTAAAATTTACTAAATCTTCTGGTAACTCTTTCCACTGAGTGGGTCTCTAAAAATCCTTCATGAGTTATGTTCTCTGACATAATAAAACCATGTGAGTAAAGAGGGGCTAGTTAGAATCTATGGAATGGTAGCCCTAGTGGGATACACACACCCACAGCCCTGGCAGAACACATGGACCCATAGGATGGTCCCTGACCAATGCTGCAATTGTGGATTTTACACCTTGGCTCAGCCCCTATCAACTTGGGGCTAGTTCTGCATTGTATTTCGTCTGTATAGGACAGCAGAAATGCCAGTAAAACAGTAGGCCGGATATTGGACAAAGCAAAAGTCTAGAATGGGAGATTCAACATGGCTTACTAGAGCAGGAGGCTTACTCACAGAAGCTGAGGAAAGATGTACTGAGTGGGCTGATCTGGAAAATACAGTGGCTGAGTAGAGGAAGGAGCCCCTTGGAGAGATTCAGAGAACATCAACTAGAAACACAGAGAGGAGAAACTAGCATAAATTAAAAGAGACTGGATTCACCAAGTACAAAGTGGTATCCATGTCTGGATTTTGATTTGAAGAGTCTAACTCAAAGAATACTATTAGGAGACTACGGCAGAACATAATTAGTGATGGCTTAAAGGGATACTAGTTCCAGAACAGCCATTCACAGTCAAAAGTTGGTAAGTGACCTCAGACCACTGCTGCTGCCTCAATTACAAAATGAGAGCTGCTGGGAAGGGACACCTCTAGAGGAGGGATCACTGTTTGAACCTGTAGTCACAGTGCAGCTCCTTGGCTGCAAGGCATGCCCCACATTTAAGATCACAGAGTGGATGAGGGAAAGACAGCCACAGGAGAAGACAATCTATTGGAGATCAGGCTGGATAGAATCCTGCTGAGGGGCTAGGGCTGGTGAACATGGACCTCGCTCCTGCTGTCAAAGGTCAGGTTTAGCCTGAGTTACACAAGATTAGAAGATCACAATGGTACCCTGCCTTCCCCATTGTACATAGATACCTGCACACAGCACTCTTCTGAAGGTGAAGTGTCTGTCACCTCAGACTTCAGTGCAAGCAGAAAAATGTTTTGCTTTGAGTTCTGTGTCCTAGGCAGTGGAAACGAGCCACACATCCAAAATAATAGAAAAACTTTTTTTTTTTCTTTTCTGTTTTTCAACTTCTGTTCATTTTCCTATTTTGATTCTGTATTTTCCCCTTTTTTCTTTTGTGCGTGCATATGTGTCTGTGTTTCTTTCTCTTGCCTTTTTCTTTCAATACAGTTTATATTGGGTGAAGGAAATGTCCCCTTTTTATTCCTTCTACTTTGATCCATATCTTTTTACTTGATTGCCCTATCCTACTTCTTATCCTTTCTCTTTTTCTATTTTCTTCTCTTCCCTTTTTTACTTGTCTGCCTTTAACTTTTTCTCTAATATTTCTATTAGTCATAGAATTCTTTCTCACCTCCATTTCCCATTATTAATTTTATACCCAGTTTTCCCTGTTATCTGTATCTAAATAAATAATATACTTCTACCAACATTACAGTCCTTTGCCCTGCTATTTCTATACCACATAGTAGAAGATACTTTTTAAAAAAACACTTTTTTCCCCTTTTCTTTCTCCTTTTTTGTCACTATCCAGGACCTGACTCCCTGTGCTTTGCATAACTGATTCTATAAAATTACTGCTTTTTTTATTTAAAGAGAAGGAAAAAAAGGACATAAAAAACAATACAGTAAAAGGGTACAAATAATATAGTATTTCTAGAAAAAATATGTACAGTATGAAATTACCAGTTAACAGGCTATACATTATCTTCCCATAAACAACTGTCCATATCACTAAATTAAAGCATATAAAGTGAACATTCATACAGTGAAATTGGAGACAGTTCCGTTCAATGATCCAACAAAAGCTCAGTTATATGGTTTTCCATCCTACACTCTCGAACATACCTGCGGTTATATCCCTTAGTTCACCTTATTTTCCTCTCCTTTTTACAGTAACAATTAGACTTTTAGGGTTTTATTACTCCCACGGTTCTTATTACCTTTTTGAAGAGAATAAAACCAAATGTGACTAAGCAAAACAGAGTCAGTTAGAACAGAAGGGTGGGCATACCACGTGATGCAAAAATAGAATACCAGGTGATCAAAAGTGGTTACCATTGTGCCTCTTGCTATTTTTAAATTGAGTTGTCTATATCATCAGGTATAATAGAATTGATCAAAACAATATAAAACAAAACCAATAAAATGTACACTGAGGACTTTATAGGACTTCAAAAAAAAGGATGATAGTCAATCCATATTGGGCATCATAGTATATCTTATTGCCTTCAAAGTGATTGCCTATACCCTCAAACTTGATACTATCAAACAAAGTAGAATATATAATAATCAGACAGAACAAGATGGGGAGAGCAATACTGGGGTTCAAGTCAGGTTAACAGGACAACAAAAAAGTTACTATAATATGTCCCATTACTCTTTAATTTAGTTTTCTCTTAAAACAAGGAGAGAAAATAGATTCATTTAAAAATAGGGGGAAGATTGAGATAAGAGAGGACATTGTAATAGAACAACGCAGGGCAGAACCGAGCATTTCAAGCATCATTGTGTTTCAGCACCAGATAATCTAACATAATAGTAGTCACCATAGTGCCTCTTTCCTTAAATTATTTGAGTGTAACTTCGCGTGCTATAATATCAAGCGTATCTAGACAGTGTGAAGCCTTTCAAGAGAATGCAAGGATTACTAGGTATTTAGAACTTGCTAATAGAAGACAAACAATGGTTTCTACATTATCTCTTTGCCTATAAAGAGTTTTGTTTATACTACAGCATATGGTGAAATATAGTAAGATACAACATGTTAAAACCAGTGGAAACAGATGTACTACAGCTTGATGGGACTTCAAAACAAGACAATATTAAATCAGCACTAGCTTTTATGTTGTGTTGCTTTCTTCAAAATAGCTATTCGTGCTATCATAGATACTAAAATAGAACAACCCAGGTTAAAACCATTGCGGTTAATGAGTGAAAACATTATATGGCTTCAAACCAATATGATTGGGAATCATGATTACCACATACTTCTATGTATTCTTATCATTTCTTACACTAGGGAAACTATTCAGTTTTTATATAACTGAGTTTGATGTATTTCACTTATGAGTATGGTCTCAAGCTGCGTCCATTTAAAATTACTGCTTTTTAAAACATTACTGTTTTTTAAACATTAGAGGAGACACAGTCATCAGATTTAGTACATATGAGCTATAGATAACCCCTTGGGCTGTTACGATGCTTACACTGCCACTGTATTTTGTGACAGAAATAATGAAACTGACACAGCCAAAAACAAAGTAAAGTCAATGGATAAACAGTTTAAAAAGTCAGGAAAAGAAAAACTAAGGATTCATCAATATATGAAGACAGCAAAGATAGTAAATAACTCATCTCAGTAACATCACTTAACATTAATGGCCTGAGTTCTCTAATTAAAAAACAAAAAAATAAGCACAATGAATAGAAAAACAGTATTCAATAGTTGGTTGCATTCAAGAAACTCATCTAATCCAAAAAAATATTAACCCACTAAAATTAAAAAAATAAAAATAGTATTTCATGCATTAGTGGCAATTCTATCATTACGTGTGGTAAGTGTCAAGCTAAAACCAATCAAAAGATGCAAAGGGCACTATATACGAGTTAAGGGGAACAATTCAACAAGAAATAACATCGATAAATATATATGTACATCATACTAAAGCACCAATCTTCACAAAACAAAAACTGCTGAAATTAAAAGATAAACATACAATCATAAGAGGGGATTTTAATATTCAACTTTCACAAAGAGATCAACTAGACAAAAATTCAATAAAGAAATTCAAAAGCTGAACCATATCCTTGAACATATGGTTTGGATAGATATTTACAGAGTATTCCACCCCTCTCTATAAGTATACATTCTTTTCAAAAGTACATAGTACTTTTTCCAAAACAGATCTCATATTTGGCCACAAAGCCTGCTTAAGCAAATATAAAGTAACTGAAAGTACCCTATTCATAGTATTAGACCACTGTGCAGAAATCAGTAACATAAGAAATTTCAGACAAAACAAAAACTCCTGGAAAATTAACAATATATTCCTAAACAAACAAAGGATCATAGAAGAAATCAAACAATTCATCAAAACCTCTGGGACACTATTAAAGTAGTTCTAAGAGGAAAATTCATTGCCATCCATCCTCACATTAAGAAAACAAAGTGTATCAAAATAAATAACCTTATGAGAAATCTTAAAACACTTGAGAAACAACAACAAAATAGCCTCAAATCAAAAATAAGGAAATTTTTAAGATGATGTTTCTGCATATTTTATTTATGTACAGGTACAAATTCCAAACAATGAATACAATCATTAGTTATATCTAGTTGTACCAATAAATAAATGATAAAAAATGATGAGAGTAGAAATCAATGAAACATACTAAAAATATAAGAAAAATCAATGAATTGAAGAGCTGGTTCTTTGAAAGAAAAAGTAAAATAAATAAGCCCTAGCCAGAATTATAGAGTTATCAAAAGAAAGCAGAAAAGATTTACATCAATTAAATTATAAATGAAATCACAGCAGACACTGTGGAAATCCATAAGATAGTGAAAACTTTGAAAAATTGATGGATGCTTACATACAGTTTTCTGGCAGCATGAGTCTTTGCTTACAACTGCACATATGGCTGACATTCAAATTGTAACTCAAGACTTTGGTTGTAAGTCAGCCTAAACCTTTGGTCATAACCCAGGTTGCTTTATATGAGGGTGGTTGTAATTTGAGGGCTCCACTGTATCCTGGAATTTACCAAACAAAGGAAGTAAAAGACTTCTACAAAGGAAACTACATCATTCTTTAAAAAAAGGAGATGAAGACATCAGAAAATGAAGATTTCCCCTGCTCCTGGATAGACAGAACCAATACTGTCAAGTTGACTATATTCTCAAAACTGTTATAGAAATTCAATTCAGTCCCAATTAAAATATCAACAGCATGCATTACAGAGCTAGAGAAAACAAATCTAAAATTGAAATGAGATGAGATTAGAACCAAAATAAGAATAATAATTTTGGGCAACAAGAAAAAAACAGGAGGCCTTTCAATATCTGACTTTAAGCTATATGACAAAGCAATAGTGATAGAAATAGCATAAGACTAAAAAAAGTGATATGTGGATCAATGAAACAGAATAGAGCACTGATAATGAACCTATCGCCTGTGCACTGCAGTGAATTATTCATATCATTGAAAGCTCTAAAAGGTTTGCCCTCACTGGAATAGAGGATACAGAAACATCCCAGACACATTTCAGTTATTTGATCTTTGACAAAGGGGTTAAAAGCATATGGCGGAGCAAACATAGCCTGTGCTACAAGTGGTGCTAGGAAAACTGCTTATCTGTTCACATCAGATTGAAACTAGATACTTATCTCTCACCATAGACTGAAATAAAATGGATCAAAGATATAAACATTATTAATATGGAAATATTAAACCTACTGGAAGATAAAATGGGTAAAAACACTTCCAGACATACGTGTAGGAATGGATTTTCTAAACAGAATCTTAATTGCAAAAGAAGTAACAGCAAAAATAGACAAGTGAGATTATACAAAACTAAAAAGTTTTTGTACAGCAAAACAATCAGAATGAGAAAAAAACTTTGCCAAGTACTCCTCAGTAAAAGGATTAATATCAAGAATATATGAAGAACTCAAAACTAAATCATCTAAAATGAAAGACCCAGTTAAATAACGGGAAAGAGAAAGAACAGGCAATTCATAGAGGAAGGAGATACAAATGGCCAATAAATATATGAAAAAATGTTCAACATCTCTGCTCATTAGAGAAATGCAAATTTAAACAATGATAACATTGCATCTTACTCTGGAAAGAATGTCAATCATTAGGAAATCAAAAATAATAAAATGCTTACAACTGCACATGCAGCTGGTGTGGCTGTGGTGAAAAAGAAACCCTCGTACTTCATTGGTGAGAATGTAAACTAGTACAACCATTATGGAAATCAGTATGGAGACCTCTCAAAAAACTTACACAGCTACCCCTTTCTAGGCACCTTTTCCAAAGAGAGTAATTAAGATACCATACTTCAGTGATACTTGTATAGCAATATTAATACCAGTACATTTTGTAATCATTAAATCCTGGAAACAGTCTGTACACTCATCAAAAGATAACTAGATACAGAAAATGTGGTATCATGTAATGGAATACTACTCAGGTGCAAAGAATGACAAATTTGAGACATGTGCAGGAAAATGGATGCATCTGGAAAATATAATGTAGAGTAAAATAAATCAGCCACAAGCTTAAATACTATAAGATAATTCTCATTTGAGTGGGGCAAAGGACAAACAAAGAGAATAACAAAAGATGCTAGAGGGGACAAAGGGATACATCTGTTGCAATAGGGAAGTGGTCACAGGGAATAAGGGCAAGGAGTGAAGAGGAGAGGAAGGTGAAATACACAGAATAAAGATAAGCCACATACAGAAAGTTAATAACCTCAATTATATGCCATAACATGAGCTAAGATTAATAATACGAACGAAAATTGAGATAGGAGAATTAGAGAACAAGGGAAGGAGAGAGGAGGAAGGGAGAAGGGGCTTTAAAAAGCAGATAATAAATTTTATTGGGTACCTGAACCCATTCCCCAAGATGACTGTGAAGTGCATGTACTACAAACAAATACTAACAAAATAAAGAATGTTTATCTCAAAAAAGACTGTTGGTAGTGATGAGCAAGATCAGTGTGTAGCTCACTGGCTGGGGAAGCAAGTGTGATCTGTGAATCATGGAAATTTAGTGTACATGCCATGCTCTGCTCCTGGGACTGATCAGAGTATGCTATGTTCCATTCTTACAACGGTTTAAACAAGTTTTGGATAGACTAATGAAGAGTGGGAGATACAAAAGGCAGCTACTACTGAGCTCTTCATGACTGTTTTCCCTCTTTTACAGTCTAGTCTAACCTTGTGGCGCTCTCACCCTTTTCCTGTTTTTAATTGGCCCACTCTTTTTCTACCAAGCATGTTTTTTTCCCTACCATTAATACATACAAAAATTTGCTTGTGCTTGCTTTCATCAATTCTTTGATCAGGATACAAAGAATCTAGAAATCAACTGTAGAAGGGAACAGCAGCATCCTAAAAGCTGATAACAGTAGGACTTTTAATCTGTGGTAGTATGACACATTTTTTAGGTATCAAATTCTTTTAAGTAGGTTCTTACTGTTCTCATGAATGGGATCTGGTTGTGCTTAAAGTTCACTCTAAATATAAGAAATTCTCATGCTAATCAATTCACTTCGAAGTTAAATTGTTTACAATATGCTGCTGCTCAAATAACATGTCCTTAGAATTATGTCCATATGCAAATATTATGTCACACAGTCTCTAAAGCTGAAAGTAGACTTTTCAATACTAGGTGCATACTACTCACTAAATTAAAAGGTAGATGAATAGTAGCAACTGATAACATTTGCCTATCTTCAGCTTTATATTGAGGGGAATTGTTCACAAAATTGTTGTTGCAGTTGAGACTTTCATATGAAATGTAAAAATGTTATTACAAATTGTAATGTAACTTTAGGAGTATTCTTAAGACCTTAGTGTCACAATCTCTTGATGTTTCACAAAACATCCTATGGAATAAATACAAATTGCTGCTAGTACTGATCATTGTGAATATTTGAATTGCATCTCAATGAGCTGCTCCAACATGAGTGAAAGGTTTCATGGTGTGTACTGTGTCATAAGTATCACAATCACTTACATGACTTGTAATAATGAATGCAAATGGCAACAGGAGAAAGATTCAAACCTTCTTCTTTTGTCAGCATATTAGGCAATTGGTACAGCATTAGAAGAGGCAAGGGTAATACAACAGTATAAGGTGCCAACAATTCAAAAAGAAGACAGATTTGCAAATACACTTAACAATACGATACCTAGTTCAATGCCACCTGACCCTCAGCACTGCTACTTGCCATATGGTGAAAAAAAAGCTTAGGTATTTTGCTCTACAGTACCTTATTTTGAAATTTAATTAAAAGACAAAGATGCACACATTTTCCTAAAAATTCTAAGGAAAAAAGCTAAATATTAAAGTGCTCTATGTTTTCTTTACATCTTTTACCTCTTCAGTAATTGAATCTAATGAGGAAGTAGCTTCATCATAGACAATGACTGGAGGATTCTTCAAAATGGCTCTTGCAATTGCCACTCTTTGCTTTTCTCCTCCTGATAAAGAAAAATTTTAATTTAGAGAACTCTAATAAGGAAATGAGGCATCTTTTGTAAGTGTCTTTAGAAGATGGGATCGAAAATACAGTAAATGATGCTCACAAGTACCATACAACAAAAAAAGCAGATTCACAAAAACTTAGTGGTGTGTCTTCAATTCATGTTACTCACTGGATCTGGCACCATGTGATGTCTCGCTCTTCTACAAAGTCAAAATAACCATGAGAAGTAAACATTTTGAATCAATTCAGGACATTGAAGCAGGCACAATAGTGCAAATAAAGACATTAATGAAAGAGGACTATTTTAGAATGTGACAAGAACAATGGGATAAGAGTTTTCAATGAAAGAGAGGAGTGTTTAAAAAGAGTTAGCAGAAATGTATCTTTTGTTCTAACATATTTCTAAAATTTTTAAACATTCACTGTATTTTTTATCATGTATCATTTTGTTTATAGTATTTACATTGGTTGTATCCAGCAAGTAAAACATTTAACATTTCCTTGTACTCATCACTGATCATTTTACAGTATTGTAGAGTCTAAATTCACGTATGATATCCTTTGACAAACTATATTTCCCTGAATGTATATGTAATACTAAAATCTGACTTCATGGAAGACAAAAAGTATGAAAATGAAAATAACAACTGCTAATTGTTCATATCATAAATACGCTCATTATTTAAGTTACTTTATATCACAGATACTCTTGAGGAATAGCATTCACAGATAAAAAAGTTAATATCTGACAAATCAACAAAGCCATAAACAAATTCATTAAAATTCTGAAAGCTAGAGAGCAATAAACTACAAATATCTCCATTTATATCTTAACATTAAAACTACCATTCAGCCAGATTTTAAAGGATGTTTATTGATAGAAACTAATATTTTCACAGTATTCTTTAAAATTAAGTGTATATACTGATACTTCTTACTTCTCCTTTAATATTTGTTACTGAATAAAAGATTGTTAAAAACTAAAAGGAAGCAAAAGCCCCAAAAGGCTAAATGTCACAGAGCAAGTTTCGGCAGAATCTAGACTAGATCTGAACTGATTCCCTGGTAGAATGGATACCTAAATACAGGAATAAATATTTAGGAGGTAGTTATACACTAAACAAATAGCAAAAATAGTTAGAAAAATAGTAAAAGAAAGAAAGAAAAAAGAAAAGTTCCAAAAGACAAACAAACAAAAAATAGTTTTTATTACTGGAACTCCAGCAGGTCTAGTCATTATTGGTTATTTAAACCTATAATTGACATTAGGACTATTTATTCTTCATCTTTTTAACTCAAATCATTTAGCGCAGTATTGTGTACATTATATGTATCTAATAAATGTGAATTAGGAAACTGGTGTGTAAAGAAAAGGAATGGGTATTCATTAAAATTTATGTAGGGTATTCTTTATTCTGTTTTTGCCTTACCCTCACCTAAATCTATATATTTCCTCCTTAAACTAGAATGAAGAATATAAATAGAGGATGTAGTATATTTGTATAAACTGCATCAATACATACTTTAAAACATTAGATATCAATATCCTTTTGGAATTCAAATCATTTGGGGGCAAAGAAACACTTTTATGAAACTTTTAAAAAATACAAAATCGTTTTAGGTAAATTCATTCTTAGCCAAGAATTCTCATAAACACTTAAATTAGAAATACAAGCCTCTAAATTTCCTTTATCACCAAGCTAAAAGTGAAAAGAAAAAGAATGGGATCAAGTATAAGAGGCCTGAAATATTTTAATATCCCCTAAGAAATTATGAGAGATGCACTACTCATTATGAAATTAGTTCTCCCTATCCTTACTACTTTCCCAAATGAATAATAATTTTGGCTTTCCCTTAATATGAAGATCATGACTATTGAATTAAATTGATCTATGTGGTCTTATTTCAATAATTTAAATGGCTCCAACAAAATAGTTTCAGGGAGTATAGGAGTGGAAGGTATATCTAAAACTTTTTATCACCTGAAAGTTTGAGTCCTCGTTCCCCTACTTGGGTGTTATATCCATGTGGCATTCGAAGAATCGCCTCATGAAGTCCAGCTAATTTTGCCACTGCATAAACTTCTTCAGGTGAAGCACTGATGTCTCCATATAAGAGGTTATAATAAATAGTATTATGGAAGAGAACAGCATCCTGAAATTTTATACACACACACACACACACATACGTAAGTTCATTACAAAAATTTGAACAATCTTTAAAGACAAAAAAATCAATAGTCCCTTTGATCGCCCTCATTCTTGCAATTCCATTTGTTTTCCTAGACCTAGTCACCATGAATAATCTACTGTGTGCAATTGTAGATATTTTTATGCATTTATATGCCTAAACATGTTTTTATGAGTGTGACCATGGCTTCTAGCCTCTTTGTGGTTGTTGCTCTCTCTTCTCCCTTTTATTTCTTCTTTCTCTCTTTTTCTCCTGTCTTCTGTACTAGTTTACCGAAGTTAACATGATACCTTTGTCCTCAAGTTTTATTTTTAATCTCTTCCTCTATTTTTTCCTAACCCCTTTTATATTTTAACCCAAGGGTAAAACTGACATACTAAGGACTTACATACTATATTTAATTTTCTGGTCTAATTTACATTTGGTTATATAACCACAAATCTAATTTATATGGTTAAAGGTGGCAAATTAATGATTCCTTCAGTTTTTATCATTTTCTAAGTTGTGGTTGATGCTACTGTTATTGCTCATGGTGCCAATTTAGCCAAAAGAGACATAATTGTTTGAAATAGCTCTTCTTCCTGGTATTCTAAAACTGAGATTAATTAAGGGTAATTGAAACTACCATGGGACAGTGCCAGAGAATCAGGGGTTGAGCCAAATAGGAAGCAACTTCTCACCACCAACAAACTGAAGAGGTAGGATCTTGCAACATTCAAAAACCAATCACACCTGGACAATACCTCAAAGTAGTAGTTATTTCCTAAGGGTTTTAAGTACTAGCAAAACAGTAAACCATTATCAGCAATTTAAAAGCATCACCCTAGGAATTAAAGTAAGAAAGGGAAAGAAAAAATGAGAAGATATTTAAATAAGATGTAAATCCAGACATCCATTTTGCCAAAGGTGAACTGGGGGGGGGGGCAGTGATGTGGGACAATCCAAAGCACTCACGTGGCCTTTCTGAAGTAATAACAACAAAGCAACTGAGTAAGACTGTAGAAAAAAAATCAACTCAGAAATAATTTCTCAGATAACTGCCACAATGGAAACATGCTTAGTGACTATATAGCAGATACAGAAAAAAAAAATAGAGAAGCTTAAAAAATGATGTAAGTGAGGAATGCCCAGCATAGAAACAAAATGGAATCCGTAAGACAGATTCAAGCAGATATCCAAGAGAATAAAAATTCCATTGAAACTATCTGCAGCAGAATGAGCCAAAGTCAGGACAGACTCTTAGATATAGGCTTGCAAAGAATGATAATTACAAGAAAGATTTCTTAAAAACAGTAAGGGACCATGAGAAATCAACTGAGCTGCTGCCAGATGATGCACAAAATCACTTAAGATTGATTGAGTCAATGAAATGCAAGAAACAACATAAATGGTATTTTAAAAAAATGTTCACAGAAGTCATGGCAGGAAACTTCCCAGGTAGAGAGAAAGAATTTGACATACATGTAAGTGAGGCATATAGAATTTTAATTAGTCAAAAATAAAAAAAGAATTCTAATTAGTCATGATCAAATATATATATCTACAGTCACACATACCATAATCAAGATTTCAGAAATTCAACACAAGAATAGAATCTTAAAAGCTGTTAGGGAAAAGAAACAAATCAACTATAAAGGAAAGCCCATCAGAATCACAGTTGACTTCTTAGCACAAACCTTCAAGTCAAGGAGAGCTTGGAGTGAAATATCTCAGGGTTTAAAGGAAAACAACCTCCAACTCAGACTGATGTACCCTGAAAAACTATCTTTCAAAATTGATGGAGAAATAGGATACTTCCATGACAAAAGAACATCTGAGGAAACTTATGATCATCAAAACAGCACTCTAAAATGTTCTGAAGGACATTATAGAATGAAATAACAAGGACTACTCTTTGACTTTCAACAGAAAGAATCTATCAGGCAAAGCAAAAGTTTAAACAGAGGGAGGCAAAAGGGAACCACCAACAGGAAAATAACAAGGAAAAGTCAGTACATTTCAGTTATAACCATCAATGTTAATGGTCTCACTTCACCAAACGAAAGACACAGACTGGCAGAATGGATCTAGAAGCAAGATCCAGCAATATGGTACATTCCAAAAATACATTTAATTTAAAAAGAAATTTATAGACTGAAACTCATAGGAAAAAAAATAATACTCTATGCGAAAGGAACCCAGAAAAAAAGCAGCAGTAGCTATTCTATTTGCAGACAATGTGAATTTTCAAGCCAAGATTGATGAAGTGATATAAGGAAGGCCACTATATCCTTGTAAAGGGAACAATCCAAGAGGAAGAGATAAGAATTATAAATATATATCAAAAATATCAGGGCACCCAACTATATAAAACAAATATTAACAGATATAAAATAATCAAATAAGTACTAACACAATTGTATTGGGGGTCTCGGTACTCATTCTGTCTCTCAAACAGAAGCTTTCCTTCTCTCAGTATTCTGCTTTTAAAAAAACAATTGTATTGCTAATAATGCTATTTCTCAAACTCTTTAATGAAAATGAAAGAGAAATACTTCCAAATTCATTCCTGGAAGCAATCATTACCCTCATACCAAAACCAGAGAAGGATCCAACTAATATAGAAAACTACAGGTCACCTCCCTAATTAACACAAACGTAAAAATCCTTAATAAGATACTGGCAAACAAAATGCAGCAAACCATCTAAGATTTTAAACATCATGAGCAAGTTGGATTCATCCCAGGGACGTGGAGGTGGTTCAACACTCGAAAATCAATAAATGTAATATACCATATTAACAGAACCAAGGACAAAAATCATATGATTATCTCAAGCTTTTAGCAAAATCCAGCACCCATTCATGATTTTAAAAAAAAAACTCTAAAAATATTGGCATAGATGGTTTTTATCTTAATTTGATAAAAGTCATCTATGACAAACCAGCAGCCAACATCATACTAAATGGACAAAAACTGAAAGCTTTCACTCTAAAATCAAGAACAAGACAAGGATGTACAGTCTCCACTCATTCAACATAGTTCTGGAAACTAGCAAGAACAACTAGACAAGAAAAAGAAACAAATGGAATAACCATAGGAAAAAAAAGAAGTTAAATTATCATTATTACTGGATGACACTTTATATAGAAGACCCTAAAAATTCCACTATAGGACTAAACACCTGTTTTTTTTCCAACACAATATGGACATTCTATGCAATTATTTTTTTTTGCAAATTGGTATTTCTAGTTAACATATTTTGGAGATTGTCCATGTAAATAACAGAAATGTACTTAGCTCTTTTTAACACTTTTATATTTCATACATAGATATATAATAATTTAACCATTCTTCTATTAATGGACACTAATCTGATTAACACATTTTTGCTAGGACAATGTTGGAATAAAATATCATTACATATATGACATGTATACCTATGTATCTTTCTGCAAAAAAGATTCCTAGAAGTAAACTGATGGGTCAAAAAGCAAATATAAATGGATACATTTATCCCTTAATAACACTGACCAATTGTCCTCCATAAAGAACAGTAGTTTATGAGTACATTACATTCAATGGTGTCTGAAACTGTCACTTCCTCATACCTTCAGAATCCCTAGATATTAATACTTTTGAGTTGCTGCTACTTTTAGAGTTAGAATATGATTTTTGTTTAAAGTAGCATTTCTCTAATTAATGAGGTTGACAATGGTTTCCTTTATTTCTAAGAAGTTTTGATACTTCAAACAGAAAACAAAGAGTTTATTATACTAGTCTAGTATACTATACTGTGTTACAATATACTATTTCCTGAAAAAAGTTAAATACTAACTGAAAAATATGAAAATAGAAAAATATAAAATAAAAAATCAATTAAATATTGGACTTTTTTCATGACTGTTGCTAAATGATATTTTAGCTACTGCTGCCACACATAAAAAATTGGGTAACTACATGAGACAATGAACATGTTACTTTTCTATAGTAACTACTTTACTACTTAAAAAATTGGGGATGAGGGATTTGGGGATCAAATGAAGGGCTCATGCACTGAGCTACATCCCCAGCCATATTGTTGATGTTTAATTTTTAATTTTGTGATCGGTTCTAGCTAAGTCACTAAGTTTTCTAGGCTGGGCTGGAAATTATGATCCTCTTACCTCAGCTTCCCCATTTTACTATTTATAGATATCTTATACCTCAAATAGATACAATACAGTTTATAAATTATAAAAGTGAAATAATTTATAATCACAGCATACAGCAAAACTATTAACATTTTGGTGTATTTACTCTTATCTTTCATCTCTACTACCAAAAGTATTAATGTACTATTAAAAATTGGGGGATTTTATTTGTTATCCTATTTTTCAACAAACTTTGTATCTGCATATTGTTCATGAGACTCAGCACTCTCTAACAACATAGTATGTGTAAATGTCTGCATAAAATTTGGTACTGTAATGTTTTAGCCATCTAGTTATGTTCTGAACATTTATATTATTATCAACTTTTGGTAGTATAAACAATGGTGCAATGATCATTATTATATATACAAAGTTGTTCATATCTGATTAATTCCTCATTAAAATTTCTTATAGGTAGAATTACTAGAACAAAGAGTATTAATACTTCTTAGACACTTTATAAATACTCCGAATTACATTAGTAAGAGAGTTACATTATTGCATTTGCAAAACAACAGACTGTTTTACACAACTTTGCCCAGGCAGGATATTTTGAATTTCAAAATCTTTGTGAATCTGACAGGTAAAAAACTGTTATCTTGCTTTTTATATATATTGCTAAGGTCTTCAATGAAGATGAGTATCTTTTCTTTACTGATCTTACATTAATTTTCCTTTGTGAATAAGACTTTTTATTTTTCAAAGGGATGAGAATAATCTTTACAGCAGCCAAGAGAATGATAGGAATCTAGTTACATGAATGACGATCTGGCCCTGTTATAATGTAGTATACTTTACCAGACAGTTTAGGTCAGTATTATTCAACATACAGGCTATAAACAATCTATTAGAATCACCTAGGATACATATTCAAAATGCAAGTTTTTGGGTACCACATTGGACCCCCATAATCAGAAGAAGAATGTCTGAAAAATAAATGGAATTTCAATAATCTCCCTAGGTGACTCTTGGCCACTAAATTTTAGGATTCTCAGTGAAAAGATAGGGCAGAGAAGAGTGTTTTATGCTGGAGACCTTTTATAAGCTACATCTCCCTGTCCAATCACTTTGTCATGGTCTCTCCCTTTCTCTTTACCTATTATTTTGGTCTGTTTTCCCAGAAATTTGATTTTGGCTCCACTAATCAACTTCCTAATAAATTTCAGCTGGAACTAATTCTGATGAGGCCTCTATAATCTTTCAACATATGAAAATATCACTTTTCAGATCTTACGGTGAATTTACTCCCCGCCCCACAGTCACATGGCAAATATTAAATGATTTCTCTGGGTTAGACACTGTGCTTGGAGCTGAACGCATAGTCATGAAAAAGGCATGCAAATGAGAGTATCAGCCAAACTATTTCTTAATTATAAATTCACTATATCAAAAGCTCTTCAAAATTAGAATAATAGTTTCTGTTTGCTGAACAATTATGTGATAGCTATCATGCTTGGTATTTTATATACATATGCTAACTCTAATCTGTAATAAAAATCTTATCCTATAAAGTACATGGTATCCCTATTTTAGAGATGAGGAACTGAAGCCCAAGGCTATACAACGTTTTTTTTTTGTGTGTGTGTGTGTGTGTGGTACCCAGGATCAAACTCACGACCTCACACTTGCCAGGCAAGTGCTTATGCTGCTGAGCTAAATCCCCAATCCCGGCTATAGAACTTTTAAGGGTTAAAGCTTGGATTAGTATCCAGGTCTGTTGGACTCTAGTTCTATGTTCTTTCTATTCACTATGCTATGCTATGCTATAGAGTTAGAAAATTTTCAACTATCCAGGTTTCCTATTTGTTTTTTTTTTTCTCTCTTTAAATAATTCTTTTTGTAAATGAACTTTACCTGTGGGCCCTACCACTACCCACTTTATTACTGTATGTTGACTCCTTAGATTCAAATTATTCTAGTTACATATCTCCCAATCCAAAAAAAAAAACTTCAAAAACTTGTATTTTTCTGTTTTTAAATACCTGAGGTACCACTCCCACAGCCCTCCGAAGGCTTTCCAGGCTCACATCTTGTATATTTTGACCAGCAAGGTAAATACTACCTTTTTGAGGCTCATAGAAGCGAAACAACAGCCTCACTATTGTGCTTTTCCTGAAATTGGAGATTAGGAAAGGTTATTTAGCTCTTAGTGGCATTAAATAATCCCCATTTTAAACCATAGTAATCATTGCATTAGTATAAAACGAAATCACATTCAGAATTATTTATCAACAATGTAAAATTGTACAAATAACTAAGTTACCCACCCTGATCCACTACCTCCTACGATGGCCACTTTCTTTCCTGCAGGAACTTCAAAAGATAATCCACTAAGGACTTTCTGTCCTTCTATGTATTCAAAATGCACATTATCAAAGGCTATCGTAGCTGTCTGTGGTGTGATCTGAATGGGAGATGCCATTGCTTTGTCCTAGCAGGGAAGAGAAAGAAGGAAATCACTGCTTTACATAGTACATTGATTATAACTATATAGACAATTTTTGCAGAAAAAAAAACAACAGGAAAGGAGGAAATTCATATATGTGGGATTAGTATACTTCTAAGAATAAAGACTTTTTTCCAGTCCTCACTGCTAAAGCAAGAAAGTATGAATGGTTTTAGGTTTCAGGGAATGTTTAGTAGAGGGTAAGAGGAGCGATGATGACCAGGATAGTAGTAGAAGATGTGAGGAGTGGTAATCATACATTTCATATTGTTATTAGCAAAGGTAAACCCAATATAAGTACAAATTTAAACAAAATATACTTTCTAGGTAGAAAATTCTTTGCTAGTAGTATAATTTTTTGCCATAAAGTAAAAGCTATAAGAACTTCAATACATATGGCAACATCAATTCCTGTAAATTAATCTGCTAACATGAAGATAGAAAATATTACCCTAGAATAATCCAGTATTAATGGAATGATGTTTACATACTTTTAGAAAGGTGCTATACAAATTACTTACTTTAATTCGGGTGTCTACTTTGAGTAGAGTAAACAAAGTGTTCATATCAATGAGTGCTTGTCTAGTTTCTCTATACACAGTTCCCAGAAAGTTAAGTGGTAATGAAAGTTGAAAAAGCAGTCCATTCACCATAACTAGGTCTCCAACAGTAAGGGTACCTTAATATGCAATTGGCAGAAGGGAGGAAAAGATATTTTAGATGAGCAAAGAAAATTGTATAGTTGATTATTATGAAATCCAGTTCAAACTATACATTATCAACAACTTTCAATCTAACTCAATTGCAAAGAATATGAATCTACGATTTAGGTAATATGTTAAGTTTTGGTTATATGTTAAGCAAAACGGAAAAAGCTCTATACATTACACATAACACATAAAGAATGCTCTAAGTAAGGAGAAAAATGGGAGGTTTAAAAAATCTGACCTTTCTTCCCTAAAATACAAATTACAGTTTCTTTGTAATAAAAATCAATTTTTATAATAGAATATATTTAAAAATTTCAGCAAATGATAGCATGCCTGGTAATGATAAACCTCACACTAATGTTACAGTAAGTGAATAAGCTCTAAGTGAGGGGGGGTTAGAAAAAAGAGGCATTGGGGCTGGGGGTTTAGCTCAGTGGCATAAGCGCCTGCCTTGCAAGCAGGCAGTCGTGAGTTCAATCCCTGGTACCGATAAAAACAAAAAAGGCAAAAAAAGAAAAAAAAAAGAAAAAAAAAAAAAGAAAAAAGAGGCACAGATATTATTTACTTCTGGAATGCTATACAAATGAAAACCTAATACAAAGTTTATAAGGTTACTGCTAATTACAGAAACAAGATAGCTTTTATTTTAGACCTTTAGACGGAACACTAAATTAATGGCATTGCTTTCAAGATCTACATATTCTAGATGTTTAAAAAAATACTTGCTCTTGAAAAAGTCAGGCTTCCAAAAGTACAATAGATACTGTGATAATGAAAGAGAAAAAAAAAGTGCTCAAAAGAAAAAAAAAACAACTGGGATAAGAGAATGGAGAAAAAGAAGGGAAAAAATTTCATGTATATAGGTATACATATGTATGCATGCCTATGTATATATACAAGATAGATAACTACGCTACTAATCTGTTAGTTCATAAAAAAGAACAGTTTGTGCTTTCTTGTTTGAATATTTGATCATTTTTCATACCTAAATTTTTTAACCTGAACTACTTCTAAGATAACAATACAAAATATATTAACTAGTGTTAATTTCCTACTATTTAAAAGAGTCAGGCTGTAGACCTATAAAGTGATCAGTCAGTAAAACACATACTGATACAAAAAGGAAAACATGGAAAATGCTTAAATCAGTTTACTGAACTTTCTAATAAATGAAAATAATGTATACATTCCTTTCATTAATCTTTCTTTATAAAAGTTAAAAGTAATATATACCAATGTGATAATCACAGTTCCATTACCTGCCATAATTCCGTGGCTGGCAAGCACCATTACAGTGGTTAAACCAATACTGAAAATAGCACTTTGGCCAAAGTTCAGCATAGCCAGAGTAGAGGTACTTTTCAATGAAGCAGTCTCATAGGTCTTCAAAAATCCATCGTATCTTTGTGCTTCATATTTTTCATTGTTAAAATACTACAAAATACACAAATATATAAGGATACGGACTGTGGACAAGTACAACTGAAATATATTCTTTAAAATGATTGTATATGTTTCATCAGATTTCATATACGGCTACATTTTGTAGTGGAGACTTTATTTTAAAAACTGACTTTCAATATACTGGAATATGGTACTTTTGTAAGTTTTCTACAATGGATTATATTTGAAAAGACCACAAATTTCATCCAACATTTACTGAATTTCTAGCTACTATGAACCTACATCTTAAAAAAGGGCTTTCAGTGATATTTCTTTCACAAAACCTATTTCTGATTCCATAAGATTTGGAACCAGCAGTTCTCATTGCCCTCATTCTTTTAATTCTTCTTGCTTAGTCACCTGCACACTTACTTTAACTTCTGCAGTATATAACATTCAGAGAGGGCGGCGATTACACATAATCACTTTTTTTTTTATCACCTTTTCCCCTCACAGAAATTGGTACAGTACTTTGCAAATGAGAATTCAATAACTATTTGAAAAATAGAAAAATGTACACATAGATGAAAGAATTAATGAAAAACACTATGCTAGGCACTGAGGGATAAAAAGAAGGTTAAGAGCTTACACATCACTTTGATTAGCTTAATGTCCTTCCTGGGTTAAGATATTTATTTATGATTATCTATAAATTAATTCAAAAGATAAAATTCTGATGTTGTCAAACAAAAACTGAGAAGACAAGGTAATTTCCAAGTAAAAGAAAAGCAAAGTAATATAATTCTATAACACCTAGAGATACTATCCTAATATTAACCTGTTAATTTACAGCACCTATTAAATTAAATGGCAGAACAATTTCTATTGCTGTCTGAAAGGCACAGTAAAGTATAATGAAATATATTACCTTCACAGTTTCATAATTCAGCAGTGAGTCTATAGCAGCATTACCTGCATCATTATCTGCTTTGTTCATTTCTATTCTAAATCTAGTTCTGTAAGACAAAGATTTGTACATGTATGAAATTTATGTCATAAAAGTGTAACTAATTGCTAAGCTTCAACTAGCCTCTGGAAAATATCATACCTCCAACGTGTGACTGCAACTGTGAATGCTGTATATGCACCAAGTGTCCCTAGGGTTACCAATGCGAACTGGGCACCACATTTGTAATACTGGAAAAAGAAGTCAAAGAAGAAATGAGAGAAAGTCGCTGTTCTTCTCAAACAGGTTAAAATATTCAACAGCAAGTAGGGTATGCCAATAATAGATGGAAAGTCAAATATCTTAGATAATTTATTTTAGGTAATGTGAAGAAAAAAAATCAATCTTTACTTACTGCATTTATACTACTGTCAGATGAGATTACTGAAACAGTACAATAGGCTGAAGAGAAAAAGTATACATGTACACACTTTTTAACTGTAAAAACTGAAATTATCCTAAAATAGTTAGTAGAAACAGGTATTCTGAGCATGTTAGACCAATTCCATATAAAAAATCTCTGCTAAAAACACTTCAGAAACACTAGTTAACCCCCATGTAGGTATCGCACTAAATAGTTATTTACAATAACAACATGATAAAGAATTTGGATAGTGCCTTGAAGCTTGAGGCAAAATATTTAAACAAACTGCTTAATCTTTTTAGCATCATAGAATTTCACTTTTGAACCCATGGGCATGCAACAACACAATAGCTTCAAATATTCAATTGTAATTAAGAATGTAAGGAAAAAAGCTTTCTATGAAACATGCTTTACTTACCAGAACACCACTGACAAGCATCACTTCGAACATGATAGGGAGAAGATTAAACACCAAAGCACTCAGGACAAAACTGATACCTCTTGTCCCTCTGTCAATAGCTTTAGATAAAGCTCCTGTCTGTCTGCTCAGGTGGAAACCAAGATCTAGGTTGTGAAGATGGAGAAAGACATTTTTGGCTATTCTTCGGATTGAATTTTGTGCTACTTTCCCAAACACTGCATTTCGAACTTCATTAAAAAAGGCAGCTCCAGCTCTTGATACACCATCTAACAATACATTAAAAAGAAAACAACTGAGTGTAAAACACAAACATTAGAATCAAAAGAAGGTAAAATGGCAAGAGCTCAGAAAATATATAATGAATAATTTAGTCAATATATCATAGTATATTTACACTTAAACCTAGAAATCATCTACTCTGATGAATACTAAACTTTCCATCATCATGAATCCTTTTCAGTGTTATCTTCTCCCAGATTCAAGGTTTTTTACAATTCAAATACTTTTAATAAACAATACCCCATACAGCTTTAATGTGGATAAATGTAAAATATTGGTTGAAGTTTATTTAGTTAAATTATCTCAACTAACAAATGATAAGATTGAGATTCTAAAAGTAAAATACCTTGCAAAAAGCATGTTCCTACACGTCTCCAAAGTCTCAAAAATATGCTTTTTAATGCATGCAGCTACATAGCATTATTTTTAAAATATAGATTTCTACCATAGCTTTTTAAAAATATATTTTAACAAAACATTAATATACATACACATCATTAATTAGCTATTTCTATTTAATAGCTAATAGTACCAGCAAAAAAATAAGCCATATTGGAAAGGTTGCTATAAATTTAATATTTTATATTACTGTTTTCTAGAACATGGAAAATGCTACTGCTATCATGGAATTTTCACAAAGTATATCATACAATGAAATTTTAAATGTCCATATCAGAAGGAATCACACATAAAATAAACATCCAAAATGCTATGTTGTGTTTGTAGTTAAAAGGTCATCTGCTCAAATATGATGAAACCTTATTGAAAAAGTCAACACCTGTAGGCAGATTAAAGAATCACACATACAGCCAATAAGAACTGCTGTTGCCATGGTTGCAACTGTATTTGGTGCATCACTCATGTTCAGCATGTTTCCAGACATCTGGTTGAGGCTATCTACAGCATATTTAAACATGAAAGGAACGATGATATTCATGGCCTAAAAACATAAAAACATTAATTACCCATATGTAAAATGTTTACTTATAAAACTAAAAATATGTACCTTAAATTAGATTTATGGTAATTTTTAGGTATTAGCCATTTATTGGTATTGGAATTATTTCCCCAGATAACAAAGATAAAATCTTTGGTGTTAAGAGTTTTCATATTAGGATTTGTATATCATACTGTCATGTTAATATTCATTTACAAGCTATGAGAATTACTCAAATGCTACTGGTTCTATGAAATGATTCTTGGTCAGCCATTCAAAAATGCTCTCTCTGAAATCTGAACTCTTACAAAGCTCATGGCACTTAAGGGCAAACTGCATTATATCACAGCTATTTTTGTACATAATTTCCTTTCCACTACATCCTTGAGGATCTCTTATCACATAGCTCTCTTTGTTCCACCTATGTTGAGTATAATGCCTTGTATATAGTACATAATCAACAAATAGCTAAAATAATTCACAAAAATGGTGAGGTGAAATTGTATGGCAAAAAGGATCTCAAAAGCTGACAAATTACAAATATGTGAGGCTGGTTCACTATTGTAAAACAACAACAAAAAACCCAAACAAAATAAAACTGCAGTTCTATTTGCCCCACAAACGTTCCAATGCTACACAAAGCAAAACCACTGAATACCAAACTTTCATCAACCTATATCTCCATGAGGATGGCAAATATCAAAAGAATTTTTTAAAATTCAGAGTATAATGCTATCATATATATAATGCAAATATCATGTTATTCATACCCTATGTTTTCTGTAGTTATACTATCAAAAACATCAATCATCATTTAAGAATAGGAAATTTGCAGACTACCAAAGTCTTTCTGATGACATAAATTGATATACAGTAATAAATGAAAACAATTTTAGATGACTTAAAAATATCAAAATCACAGTTCTCATTCTATTACTGTGCTACTCATCTTTGTTGAAATTATGAATTCATTACCAACAAGTTCATTTAGCAATAACTGATAAAAGCTATGTAAATCTTACCAATCCAGATTTCAACAGTTCTTAGTAACCAAACAGGTCCATTAGCTTCTATGATCTTGTCCTGAAGACCTATATCTCTTTCATTGTTTTGTTTTGATTGGTTTAATTCTATTTTGTTTTGTTTGATATTATTATGTCTGATGGTACGGGCAGCTATTTTGAAGATAAAAAAGATATATTATGGTAGCCATTATTGATTTCCCATTATCTTGTTTTGAAGTCTGTATCACTTTCAATGTTTTGTTTTGATTGACTTTATTCTGTTTTATTTTGGTTTTATTCTTTGAAAAATAAAAAAAAGAAGAACATTAAAGGGCCAGGAATATAGGTCAGTGACATAGCACCTGCCTGGCGAGCACAGGGTCCTGAGTTCAATTCCCAGTACCAAATAAATAAACAGAAAACAAAGGGTGGCAACAGGGAGGGAGACATGCTCTACAGGTCATGCCCTCAGTGACCTGCCCCTTCTTACCAGGTCTCACTTTCTAACGAGTCAATTATACTGTCCTCATAATTCAGTTACCACCCAAAAGCTCTGTCTATGACCACATGAGGATTTTGGATTTATATCCTCATCTGGATATAAGCCATATTATTCAACTATAGCAATGATGCCCATTTTACATAATAGATATTTCTCTCAGCTCTTACCTTTATTAAAAGATTCCTAACACCATAGCTATTGTTCACAAAATGTTTGTTTGGTCACAAAAATTTTGTACTTAGGTTAGGAGCCAGGGATTTAGCTCAGCTTTGTTTTCTGTTTCATCCACCATGGTTTTCCTTTGCTATATCATTCTGCCATGGAGCCAGAACACTATAGACTGAAATCTTGAGCCAAAATAAACCCATCCTTTAAGTTGTGGCTGTTAGCTACTATGTCCCAGTGATGAGACTGTAACTAAGACTGAAGAAACCCAGGTTCCATGACACACAAAGACTTATCTTAGAGGCAAGACTGAAATTAAAATCCAGGTTTGACATTTGAAATAAGAATTTATTCTAATGTATCATAGCTATGAGTACATTAGCAGCTTCAAGTGAGTAGCCATTTTTGGGCCCTTAAAATGGATCTTTTCAAATGTGTTATTTAAATCAGGAATAGTTGTAAAGTACATAATATTTTAAATAAATCTGAGCAGATCCTAGGTTTTCCATATAATGGGGCCACATCCCTTCATATATGCCTTTAAAGGATAAAAAGTGATAGCTACAGTTAGCATGTAATTTTCCTAACAACTGATTATCTTTGCTATAGTTATAGCGAGTGATGACTGAAATCAGTGTATCAACAATCAAGTTATAAAATTTAACCTTCTTGCTCCCGAGATCCGGCCATGATGGGACTCAGGCAGCTTATTCTTCCGCCTTCTTGGTAAGCACCCCTGGCGTGGGCCAGGAAGAGAACCAGCACTCTCGAGATCCGGCAATGGTAGAACTTAGGCAGTTTATTCACCGGCCTTCTTCGTAAGCGCCCCTAACATTGGCCAGGAAGACAACCAGCAGTTCCCAAGATCCAGCCATGGTGGAACTTACGCAGCTTCTTAGCTAACTCTCTTGATAAGTACCCTGGCACGGGCCAAGAGCAGAATCAGCACTCCCAAGATGTGGCCAGGGTGGAACTTAAGCAGCTTATTCACTCGCCCTCTTGATAAGTGCCCAAGGTGCAGGCCAGGAGGAGAACCAATGCTCCCAAGATCTGGCCATGTGGAACTTAGGCAGCTTATTTACCTGCCTTCTTGGTAAGCATTCCTGGCACGGCCCAGGAGGAGAACCAACAGCTCCCTAGATCTGGCCATGGTGGAACTTAGGCAGCTTTATTTGCCCGCCCCCTTGGTAAGTGCCTCTGGTGTGGACCAGGAGGAGAACTAGTGGCTCCCATGAGCCTACCGTGGGCGGAGAATCAACCGTCTCCCTGCCACTCCACCGTAGCAACTGGGGATAGATGTCTCAGCATCTCTTGAGAGGATAACCATATGCAATATAGCATGTTTTTTGGTACCAAGGATCGAACTCATAACTTCACGCTTACCAGGCATCGAACGGGGGATTCCCTTCTATCTTCTGTTTGAAGGCAAAGTTGTTTTTACCGTTTTGTTTTGTTATGTTTGTTTTGCTCTATTTAATACTCTCTTTCAATTGGTTTTATAATGTTGTTTTTGGTTTGATTTTGCTATACCTAATTTACTGGACAACTATTGTGAAAATAACGAAATATACTTATAGTACCTATTACTACTATCCCAGTATCCTGCTGTGAAGTTCTGTACCAATTTCACTGCATTGTCTTGATTAGCTTTGTTCTGTCTTGTTCTGTTATATTTTTATTACTTTTGAAATAAAATTTTTTAAAAATTTTACCTTTTTGAAAATGTTTTTTGGGTTTGTTCAAATTTGTGAATGTCCCTATAAGTATACAGAATACTTGAAAGTCATTTGTACTGTGTTGTTACCGGCAGAAAAGGCATAGCTAGTAATATCATGTTAAAAATATGGCCCGATCTCTAACTGAATACTGTCATTTTTTAAAAGAAGGTTTTTAAAATGGAAAGAAATATACTATGCATTTTAGAATGAAAGAAATGCACTAAAAAATGAAAAGTTTTACTATGTGTAGATATTCTTATTAGTGCTTATTAGGTTTCATTGGCCTTGACATACATAATGGATGGGAAGTAGCAAATACTGTTTTCTCCTCATATGTCTCTTTATCAGAACTAGACTTAAACTATCCAAAATAAGAATCTTTAACAAAAAACCTTTTTATTCTGAAATAATTTCAAACTTATGTTAAGATGCAAAAGTAATAGAAAGAGATCTTCTTACCTTTCTCTCACCATCTCCTAATGTCATATATAGCTATAGTTCAATAGCAGAACGAAGAACAAAATACCAGCATGCTACTGTTACTTAAATATAGAATGCACTCCATTTTTAACTTTATTTTTGGCACTGGGGATCGAACTCACTACCTTTCACATGCCACGCAGGTTCTTGTATGCTGAGCTAAATCCCTGGCCCCATCTATTTTAAACGTGTTGTATTTGTGATATATAATTGTTTATATGGTCCTGTATAATTTCATCTTGTGATAAGACTCATAGAAGCACCACCACAATCAAGATATAGACCTATCCCATTGCCACAAGAGAATTCCCTTTTGCTTTCTTTATATCTTCACTACCATCCCAAAATATGCCTCTCTAGTCTCCATGCTCGCAACCACTAATTTTTTCTGGATCCACACAGATTAAGAAAGTAATATTTATGGAAAAATAAGGTGTATCTTTTGAGATGGGCCTTAGTTTTACTCAGGATAATCTTTTTTTTTTTTTTTTTTTTTTTGTCTTTTTCCTTTTTATCGGTACCGGGGATCGAACTCACGACTGCCTGCTTGCAAGGCAAGCGCTTATGCAGCTGAGCTAAATCCCCCACCCCAGGATAATCTTTTTGAGGAACATTTAAGACCATTGTGTATACCAGTGGCTTATTCATTTTTATTGCTAATTATTATTTCATAGATGTATCAGAATTAATTCAATCATTAATCCTTGAAGGATATATTTTTATTGTTTCCAGTTTGGGAATAGCTTTGACTAAAGATGTTATGAGAATTTTTATAAAGGTGGAAATAAGTTTTCATTTCCCTAGGATACAGGTCTTAGAATGCGATGCTATGTGATACAGCAAGTTTACACAGAACTTTTTTCAGAAAATGCCAAACTCTTTCCAGAGTGACTAAAAATTTTATCGCATTTTACAATAATCAATAAATTATAAGTGACTCAATTCCTCTGTATTGTCACCAATATTTGCCATTGTCATTATTTTTCCTACTCTGAAACTATTAAAATAGGTGTACAATGGTATTTCACTGTTATTTTAAAGAGCATTTCCCTAATAGTAATGATGCTAAACATCTTTTAATGTGCTTATTTGCTATTTGTATCTCTACTTTGGTAAAATATCTGCTCGTAATTT